CCCCGTCGCCCCCGCCACGCGCACGCCCCCGCAGCCCACGGCCCGCCGTCGCCCTCCGGCCTCCCGGGCCCCCGGCGCACGCCCCAACGAAATAAAAAGCCAGCTTACTCACTCGAACATTTAATCTCCCAGAAAAGAAAAAAGGCATGGTCTCAATGCCTTTCGGGACAGAGGATCAGCATGACGCCGGCAAGGAACACACGCGTAAATAGAGCAATGGTTCAAATCATTGATTAAAAAGGAAAAGGTCAAAACATTACCACCATGCGTGGCTGCGCTGCTTTCACTATATTTTATTGAAATATGAAAGATGAGAGGACGTAAAGAAGAAAATGCCTCCCATTGCAAGAGATGAAAGACAACACACTGGAGAGTAGGGGCGAGGTCCCACCAGCAAAGAAGATTGGATTGAGCGCATAAAAATCTGGATGTGCTCTGCACAGAGATGCAGAAAAGTAGATCAATCACGACTCTCTGCACCTTCCCCCAGACACGCCCAGATTCAAGCGCTTAATCCAATCCTGTTTGCTAGCGGAACCTCGCAACAGGAAGCCGCCACTTACATAAACATCTCCGTCCCAGATTCAGTCTCTCGGCCTGGCTGAGAGTCAGGGGCAGCAGAATTCGGCGCCGCCTGCGCCTGCGCAGGAGGTGCAGGTGCAGGACTCCGCACTACCAGTTCCATGTTCGCAACGAGAGGCATCAGCAGATTGATTGATTCTGCCAATAGATTATCCCCTCGCACGACGCGCCGCAAGGCACACTCTCAAGGAACGAGTCCTGTGCTCTGAACGCTGCTTAGATATCAACTCATTCGGGATTTAGGGTTCATCGTTGCCGTCATCATCAAGATCGTCATCATCATCATCATCATCATCAGCGCCGCCATTACTGTCACGTCGTGTTGGCATTGAAGCGCACAAGGGTACGGCTAAGGCAGTCGCGACACGTGGCACTTTTCTGACCTCCAGCGAGCGTACAGGTTCTTACGGCACGCCACGTGGCACAGTGTGAGCCCTGCCCTCACACAGACTCAACGCGTTACTGATCGACACCCAGCCAATACCGTCCTTGCTGTCTAGATTCGTCTCCCACTCCGCATCTCCAGGGGCCCAGATTCCCCTCACCTGGATTCTTCCTCCTTGACCGCAGATTCCGCGGATCGACGGCCAGAAAAGCAAGAATCTGGTTACGTCCTACTACCAGCCCCCAGAAGATCGCGTGCGTAGGGGTTCGCGCCTCACACCACTGTCGAAACGAAAAAAAGTACGAGTGCATCTTCCCGCAGAGGATGGCAAGATGCATGTATGAATAGCAACTGATGCATCTTTACCATTTTCCGTGGAAAATGCGTTCGTTCTTCGTTCGTTTGGACAGCGGTGTGGCGAGGACTATCTATAATTTGTTTCGGTGGAAACGCCAAAGCGTATGCAATGACTTTGAATGCAAATTACGATTTCTGATTCACCAACAGGCCCCACTTTTTTGTTTTAATTTTTGTATAGCCGTCCCTTCATTTGATCAGTCTGGGAGTCAGCAAGCGCACAGCATGGGCCTCGCCGCACCACTCACAAAATGTGAAAATGACAAAACTATGGAGGGTCTCTCTCCACGTCTTAGCGGGAGATGAGGGCCTCGCTCCACTACACAACACTCAACATGCCTTTGAACGCTGGGTCCAGTGCATTTGGACGCCGTCTGGACACGATCCATCCGAAAATGTCGGAGTCGACCGAATGCACCCGGTCAAGGAAAGGTCCAAATGCATGCGGAGTTTTGTGAAATGGAGCGACACCCACGACACATTTGATCTTCATATTCGGCGTCAGCAATGAGATTAATAATTACGTTACATGCCAACGAGCTTGATCTTCTTCAGAACATGAATGATAATTAACGAGTGTATAAAACGTACGGAATTCCCGTACTGTACGGGGACTGCACGGGGACTGTACGGTCACTGCGGTGGATTTGCCGCCGAACTTGCCCCACTGCTCGGCCGATTTACGCTAATGTGCGTGGCGACGCAAAGAGGAGAGGAGACAATAACCTTCGACAGAATTTACGGTTGTTTCTTATCATTTAATAATTTGCCATTAGGGTGTTATATTAATGAAGACGCGTAATCGTACTGCATGAGGACAGAGGAAGCGAGCCACACCGAAACGTTTGGCGCCGGCCTCGGACTTGCACAGTTATGAAGTTGATACAAACGTACGTTAATTCTGCGTTACGCGCTCGAATTAAAGTCTGTATTTGGCCCGCTATCGTGGTGAATGCGTGTAAACATTCCAGAGCGGCTCTGTTCGTCTGTGATGGCGGGAAGGACGAGTTCAGCGTGTGAGGGTGGGTTCAACTTCAGAAAGAATTGAACCCATCCTTTGGAAATGCCCGAAAGCGAGGCCACTGTCTGGAAACCCCTCCAGGTGAGCAAGCGGCCTACGTAGCTCAGTCTGTAAGGCAAGCAAGTGACAGGCAGGAGGTCGTGCGCTCAATCCCCAGTGACCGGCTGGGCACGTTTTAGTGCCAACCAACTGAGGGCATACACACAATAGCATTGTAAAATCGCAAACTGGCAATTTTGCGATTATAGGCAATTTTGTGATTATATAGGGGATCGCCTGGTCGCACAGCTCTCCCACATTTCTAGGCAATTTTGTGATTATAGGGCATAGACTGGTCACACAGCTCTCCCACATCTAGCGCAAAACAGAACAGATGACCACGACCAGTAATGATTTCATCCAAATGCGAATTTATGCGCCGTGGGAGGCACTAAAATTTAATTGCAAACGGATGGAGAAATCACAGGAAATAAAATACGTATTATGCAGGCACCTCTGGAGGTGCACGCAAAAATACGTATGCCCGTGGCTCCCCGCTCTGCTGACATATACGTGCCCAGGTGAATTCGCAACATGCAGCAACTGTGGGGCTCGTTCGACACTCCTATTGAAATCCTCGGGCAAAAGGAAAAATTCCTTTTAGTTCAAAAGGAAATTTGGGCCCTTCATTCCACCTGTCCTCGGGGACGTCGCCCATTTCCTCTGAGCCATGTCAGAAAAGAAAAAAGAAAAGAAAAAAAAATCAAATGTGCTTGAGGCCTTCAGCCAATAGGGTGCCGCCACGATCCAGATTCTTGGTTGTAACATCTCTCTACCCATGTGCCCGCTCCTCTTGGTGAAATGCGGATGCCTTTTGCCCAAGGGACCTGGTGAGGCCCCTTGGGCAAAAGGAAGGAATGGCTGGGGAATCCTCGGAGCCCAAGGATTTTCCTTCGGAGTGTTTTCACTTTTTTTTTCCCGACTGCATCCCCGAGGATAGGTCGAACGAACAATTCCTCCGGGACTTTACATGCCTGAGGAGTGTCGAACGAGCCCCTGTGTGACCCAAAAAGTTACAGAAATTTT